GGAAAAATGATAAATTTTTGTCTCCGGCCAATAGCTATACCTTTTATTGCACTGTGTAGTGCTCCTTAAACTCTGGCAAGTAAAAGTGGTAACAGTGGGCATTCTAGAATTTAATTTTTTAATGGCAAAAACTGCAATTCTTTTGCACTAACCTATTAATTTTTATTTTTCTTATTTAGGGGCAACACGAATTCATTCTACCACTTTGTTCTTATATTTGCAAAGAATTTCTTAAGTTGATAAATTTAATTATGTTTTCTTTTTATTTCGTTTACTTTTGTATTTTCATTTGTCCTGTCTTCTCTATTTTATTACAATATTTATATGCTTTAGCTGAATGCTGGATTTTCATTTTCTCCAACTTAATAATGAATGGCTTAAAAGGGAAAACACTGCTTCCTTTTAACAAAGCTTTGTCTATACTTGCTTAGTTTTATATGGACTCTTCTCATTGTTACTATCCAAATAGTCTGTGATAGTACTGTTAAATTTGTTTTTGGTTCATTAGTTGCCTCTATGATTTTTTTCCCTTTTTAATTTGCCATCTTAACTGGTTTTGTTTGTTAGTTAAACTTCTGTTATTACTTTCTAGGTTTTCTTTCCATTCTAGTAAAGTAGTATGCCCTATAAATTTCTGGATTTTGCTGACTATATGTATGTGAGAGAAAGTGACAGTAAGAAAGACAGTGAGAGTGAAGGTGGGTTTGAGAGAAAGAGGCAAAGAGTTTGATTCCTCATGGATGGTTGAATAGTGGTTCATTTTTCCTGTTTTCAACAGAGAGGGTCTTGCTATGTTGCCCAGATTGGACTTGAACTCCTAGGCTCACATGCCTCAGCCTCCTGAATAGCTGGGACTACAGCTATGGTGAGACACTTTCTTCATTGATGATATGTACAGCCATTACATAAAATTGAAGATGTGCTGGTTGAAGGTGTGAGGGCAGATGGAGGCTGGAGCCCCACAAAAACCTCTTCTCTTTTCTCTAAAGAGACCCATGGAGTCCTTGAAGTTACCTGGGTAAGGTTTTAAGACTGCTGCTCATTCATAAAACATTAAATATGCATCTATTAGATTAACTTAGATATTTATTAAAATATTTTTCCCTTGAATTAATCAGTTAAGGATTGAGATGGTGTGTTCTAGTCTCCATAACAAATATATTTCTCTGACCTCTCCGCACACTACCAGATGCTTTCAATGCTCTGGAATTTGATGATTAACAGTTTGCATCTACTATATTTTAAGTATAGGCAGTATCTTTTAGTAACATAAAATTATTGCCTTTATTCCATTTTAAAGCTTCTCTCCTTAAATTATCTTTTCTCTGAAATTAATATTGTAACCACCAGTATTTGGGTTTGTATATCTCTGATTGTTCTTTAACTTTTACCTCTTAAATAATCTAGAAAAAATAAATTTCTATTTCTATATATATCTGGGCATAGTGTATATATGCATATAAATGAATTTGCGTACATAAATGTATAGACATGTCTGTATTTATTATGTACATATATATACATCTTTATAGTATATAATTCTATCTTCATTTCATAATCCCATATATGCTAACATTTTTAAGAGTTTCAGTTTTTATCTCAACCTTTTAAACTTTTCTGGTATTTGTGAATGTTTATCTTACTGGGATTAGCCTTTTTCTTTTATGTTAAGTCTTATCCAAGATATTTTTGGACTGGTATCTTTCTGGACATTTTATTTTCCTTTCCCTTATAATTAAAAGGAATCATGATAGGTAGAAATGGGAATAGTAGAAAGACTTCAAAAACAGGAGAAGATGGACAACTTCTACAGGCATCCACCTCTCTCTTCTTCAATGAGTTTTCTAGTCCACTTATCCCTAAAAACTATAACCCTGGGACTCAAAATCCCCAGGAATCATAACCATGACACACTTGGGCACAACTGAATGATACACCTGATTTCTCTTATCATTCAGCCTTTGCAAGAAACTGCATGTTTTCAAATTTATGGTCAGCTCATTTCAGGTTAAGCAAATTCAGATGACTACTTGGCATCTTACTCAATTTAAAGCTTATTATCAAAGAATTTTAAGCTGCCTTAAATGTTATGTAAATCACTCTGCTTTCTCTCTAGATTCCAGTATTAAGACTCTGATATGCAAACACAAGATAAAAAGTCACTAGGGATTTTCTGCACCCCAATCTGTTTAAAAGCTGTACTCTCTGGTAAGCTCGAACCCTTGCACTCTTGTTTACTTTTAACAGTTTGAGGATTAGTCCGAAGGTAGAGTTCTCTCAACTTTTTAAGCATCCATTGTTTACATCTTTTTACAAACTTAGTGGCTTACAAGACTACATAGTTTTCTTGATTAATAACAAACCTGAGCTTCACAGGTTCTTCTACAAGCAGCAAAGCAGGTTCTTAGGCAGGGTTCTTCTGTGAGTGATCACAGTTTCTCACTGATAAGAAAACCCAAAGCTATTTGAAGCTTTCAGTGACTATGCCTTGGTCTTTGGTTGACACAGCCACAAATTATATGATTAGCTCAAAAAATCAGAATGAAAGAAACATTAGCTACACTGACACACCTGCCTTACGCCTTATTTTGGAATGGAGGTGGATGGGGTTGGAAGGAAGCTATAGCTGCATGTATTTCCCTGCTTTTCTTTCTCAGTCCCTCAAATATACTAAAATAACTCTGAACATTATATTTAATTTTTATTTGATAATTTAAAATGATGTTCTGAGATAATGGATCTCTACTATAGGTATATCCAAGTGCTAGAATCTGGTGCTAGACAAAAATAAATGGGTAAGAGTTAGTTAACTATCATGATGATGGACTTGTAAAGCAAAATGGATGTAAAAATTTGGAAATTTCATATTTCAAGTCACATAAATTAATAATAATGAAGTAAATTAGGGATAAAACATAAAGCCAAACACACATACATCAGTTGAAAACAATAGGAAAGAATCCAGGCTGTTTTTTTGTATGATTGTTCAATGTTTTGAGAAACAACTAGAATACTAAGTGAGTTTTTATATCTATAAAGAAGAAAACTAAAATTAAGCCTGTTGGTAGATCTATATTATTTTCATACATTCTAGGGGGGAAGGTAGTAAACCAAGTTTCTGAAACTATAAGTGATGCTTAGAGGAAAATTAAGTCACTGAATGATGCCAGGGCTGATTATTCTACTAAACTTTAAAAGCAAGAGATTGCAGTCTCTGAGTCCAAAGTGGTTTCATATGAACTGCCACAGTTGTGGTTACTCTTGAAACTATAACCTATCAAATTAGAAGCAGGCAAGGCCTATGCTCTGAACAGTTCCACTATCTACTGTCTACAGTTATGTCTACAAGTTCAGAATAATTTCTTCAGTTAAACTCTGTTATCTGGATGAGTAGAATATAAAAGCTGCTCTGTTATATTGGCCAGAGAAGATTTTTGTTATGATATAAAGCTTAGTGAAGTTGCCAGCCTTGTGTTTATTGTATATATGAAGACTTTCATTGTAAATATTTTTATCAACTTCTGGTATTTTATTATCCTGGATACCACTATGGAATACATAGCTATACAGAAGAAGTGTACAGACTGCATAAGTGCCCAAGCTTTTCCTCCCCTGCATCTCCAGATATTTTATTGACTTTAGTAACCTGCTGACCCCCATTTTTCTAGGTCTACAGTAGCCTGCTATTACAGAGCTACAAAATGTTCATTTCTTCTCTTCTTGATTGTGGAATGCCCTTCTAGGCAACAGGTTTGGCTAACCAAGATTTTTCCCATCAAAATTGAAAAGTTACCTGTTCAATTTTACTAATGCTTTATGTATTATGCTTTATTCCTTAATGAATTTTTCTCAGTGCCCATTTTTACAACATAAAAATATTTAGAAAATAAAGCATAAACAATATTTGCTCTTTGTGTAATGCATCATAAGTGAAACCATGCCACTAAACAACCATATCCTGTTTGGGCAATGATGACATCAGAAATACATGTTTATCATCTGCTTTGGACAACTTAGCATGTTTTTGGCCCAAGGCAAAGTTGAACTAAAACCATTTGCAGTCGTCCCAAACCAAGATAACCACACATTTCCAAAGTAATTGATACCTAAAAGAACACTGCCTTTAGATCACAGTTCATGATCTAAGCATGCTAATTCTTTAAAGGTTGTTTAAGTTTATAAAGCATGTATGTCTACTGGACCTCTTCCAAAGTTTAACATAAAATAATTATATTTTCAGCATGCATAGAAACTATAATAAAGTTGGCATTTAGCACAATCTTTTGTAATTCTGAAATTACTTCTCTTGCCCAATTGAAAGAGAAGGGGAAAATGGAGATTCCATTCACATGAAAGTATAATAATAGCAATATGAACTGTGAAAATATTGCCTTGTAATTTGGAAGATACTAAAATGAAATAAATCATTTTACTTTAAATTTTTCCTTTAGCGTTTAAAGAAATAATTTTACGGATAGATAGCTAAGGTAAATAGAAGACATACAATTTTGAAATTCATTGTTAAGACACATCCAGGGAATCCAAATACATGTCACTAATTTTGTCTTGCAGTGATATAAAGCACGTAATTGCCCTGGTTACTCCATAGCTAGTAAGTCCAACCACAGCCTGCAACTATAGCCAGGAGAATAGCTCTTCACACCATATATGCCAACATAAAAGCACTAAGAATTGTTTTGTTTACAAATAAAGCTGGATAATTTGAAACAAAAAGGTAAATATTTAATTAGAAATTAGCTTAATAAAATAAAACCAGTAAAAGACCCAGAGTAGGGAAACCTACTCATTTTCAAAAAAAGAAACAAGAACAAAGTTGACGTTGAAGGCAAAGTCTGACTCCCTCTTCAGGGGTTGATCCTCTGCACATCACTGTCATCAGACATAAAACCACTGATTTAGAGATTTCAGGTAATATTTAAAGAACATGAGAATAGAACCAAATAGCATAGTCACTGTAAAAAGGGAAGAATGTACTATACCTCCATTCTTTCTTGTTTAACTTCATCAATTTCGTCATCTTCAAACATTGCTAAAAGTTCTCCTGTCTGGTCAATAGAGTTGAGGAAGTCTTGAGCAATTTTTTGTCTTTTGTTCGCATTATTGCTGCCACTCAATTTGTCTTCATGAAGTCAAGGGGAAAAAAAAGAAATAGTCTCATTAGGTTTACATAGGTACTAATCATTACATGTATTAAATATAGTATAAATAATTCAGAATTGGAATTCTCTGAAAATAATCTATAAAAAAATTCTTGCATCCAAAATAAAAGTGTAAGTTGTACAGAACTAAATCACTTATTCATGTCACAAATTAGACTGACAGAATAAAACCAAATGATAAATTACCAAAGTAAGTATGAAAGAGCTAATTAAAATCCCTTCTAAAAAGAGAGCGTGTTCTCAGATTTGGAAAAATAATACTGCTATATGGTATTTATAACAGACACCTCTAAAACAAAAATGACAATCCAAAAAGATGATGAGTAAAAACATGCTAGGCAAACACGAGCAAAGAAAGCAGAACTGGTAACATTAACAGTAGAAAATACAGCTCAAGACCAAAAAAACTAAAGGAGACAAGGTGAAACAGTATCTAATAATAAAAGGAATATTAAACAGTCATAAACTTTTATGTACCAAAATAACAGTAAAATGAATAACACAAAGGAAATCTTAATAAAAAGCACAATCACTGTGAGATGTCTGAATATATTTTTCAAAATTTGACAACTTAAGGTTATAGATTTAAAAAATACACAACTCTAAGCACATTAATACCTATATGCATATTAGAATCGATATTATTCTCTTAGTTCCACAAATCATTTTTATTTGTTTTTATCATTTCTTTTAAATTTTTACTTCAAAAAGTTTCTATAAATATCTACAAATTAAAATGTATTAAAATGGTACCACATATCATTTTTGCTTGATTATTCTTTCCCATTTCCTGCCCTTTTATATGATCAGCCAACCTCCAACTCAAGATCTTGTAACTCATATTAACACCACCCAATATGTATTCTCCATGCTCACATATCCATAAAAATACATTCATTTATAGAGCTGTTTTATTCATTTATACTTTTTAGAAAGGGTTCTTAGAATATTCCTTCTATTTCTTTCTTTTCTTGCACTTCGTGTTTCTTCGTCTGTTAGGGAGAAAAATCCCTTCAAATCAACTGGTATAGCCCTGATTCCTTCTTAATGGCTGTGTAATATTTTACAGCATATATGTATCACAGCTTTCCAACCAATCCCCTATTGAGGGGCATATACTTTGTTTCAGGTTTTTGCTACCGTGGGGAAATGCTATAATAAACATCCCATCCATATGGCGTTCTGTATGGCTGTCAGTTACTGTTTATGGCACAGATTCACAGGGAACTACTGAGTTAAAAGGTACAAGAATTTTAAATTTTAATGGAAGTTAAGAGATTGTTTACCAGTGCATTAACCCTTCAAGTTTCCAAGAGTAATGAGGAACGTCTTTTCTCTCCATGAGAAAAGTCTAATGAATATAAAGCGATATATCATTGTGATTAAAATATTTAATTTCCCTAATGAATCTAAACATTTTTCCTCATATGTTTGTGAGCTATGTGAATAAGGCTTTCTGTTGTTTATTTTTACCCTGTGCTCATTTTCAACTGGGTTGTCTTTTTCTTAACAATTTAAAGGGCTCATTTATATTACCCCTTTGTTATCTGAGTTAGAAATGTTTATCCTAGCCTTTCATTTGCCTATGAATTTTAAAGCATCTTTTGCCATAAAAAAATTAAAATTTGTTGGTGTGGTGGCTCACGTCTGTAATCCCAGCACTTTGGGAGGCCGAAGTGGGCAGATCACTTGACATCAGGAGTTGGAGACCAGCCTGACCAACATGGAGAAACTCCCTAATAAAAATACTAAATTAGCCAGCATGGCGGCGCATGCCTATAATCTCAGTGACTCAAGAGACTGAGGCAGGAGAATCACTTGAACCCAGGAGACGGGGGTTGCGGTGAGCCGAGATCACACCATTGCACTCCAACTTGGGCAACAAGAGCGAAATTATACTGTCAAACAAGTTCATCTTTTCCAACCTTTGTTTCAGATGACTTCTCTCCACTCACACAGAAGGAATGGGATCTTATCAGATATCTACTCTTATTTAGATTTATAAAGATTCACTTTATGGCCAATTTCACAATTAATTTTTTAAATGTTCTGTGAATATACTGAAAAAATTCATAGATATGCTATTCCAATTAAATACAGGTCTAAGCATAACTTGGTATTTTGTCGATTTACTGTTTAGTGCTTATGGGTCTATTATGTAAAAAGCTGTGTCTTTTGTAATTATATCATATTCTTCTTTATCCTGTTTGGGCTTTAATGTTAAATTATACCTTGCATGATGCTAATATAGCCACTTCTACTTTTTTTGCACTTGTGTATGCATTTATCTACTATTTATTTGTTCATCCCATTATTTATAACCTTTCTTTATCTTCAAGTTTTACTTTTGTGGTTGTTTATAATTCGTCTCAATGTAAGGATTTAATCCATTTCATAATTAGTGCAATGACAGATATATTTGATTTTTATTATTTTCTCTTGCTTTATGTTTGGTATTTATTTCATATTCTTGTTTTCTCCTTTTCCTTTCTTCACTTTTAATGGTCTGGCCATGTTGATGGTCCTTCCATTTCATCTCTTTGTTAATTTGAAATTGTAATACACTTTTCTGTTAATGTTTATCATCTCCTTTTCCATTTTCTTTAATGTTTACCTCACTCTCTTCTGCTTCGACACATTGCTTGAAGATATTTTAAACAACAGTGTAAATTATTATTTAAAACAAGATATCAATTATACCCCTACCAAGAGGTAACATTTTCCCAATAAAGTAATATTTTTTTCTAATATTTCCTGCATTCCAGTATCAAGAGACCCTCAGAACACTTTCATTGTTCCTATCTCAGCTTCCTACCAACAGATCTGTGAAAAATTTTTACTTCACCCCTTCTCTCTCTACCTCTAAACTTTTGGCTTTTGATGAAAAGGGGTATTATTTTTAGAGCACCAACAGAATTTCATTAGTATTTCAAGAAATTTAGCACTTATATTGCATGTTCTCACACACTGTATCATTAGAGATAAATACTGAGTTCAAACAAGATTAACTACTCAACGTACTTCTTTCTTTAACACAATAGATATCTTATCTTAATTGGGTATAAAGTCCTTGGATTGCAGTCTCTTCCTCAAATAAATCAATAAATACTATGCTAGTGTCTTCTAGCTTCCACTGTTACACATAAGAAGTCCAATTATAATGTGATTCATTTAATCATTACTTTTTGGAGGTAGAGGAGACTGAGTTTTATAAGATTATCTCATTTTTAGAGATAAAAAAATTTTACTAAAACATTCCAGGTGTTTATCTACTCAACCTTTTTACTCTGTAGTGTTGGATTTTCTTAGCTCTGTAATTTATTAATAATTACCTCTCTCCCATCTCCCCTTTTTTTCTCCTTCTGAAAGCCCTATCATATGCATCTTAACTCCTCTGAATTTATCCTCTAGGTCTCTTACCTTTTTCCCTCTTAATTTTCAAATCTTTATATTTTCCTATGTGCTTTGAGGTAACTATGCCATTTTATCTTCCCTAATTAGGTCCGAAGAGTGACTTTATGAAAAAAAAAATTAAGTTATTTAGTTGTGAAGTACTGTGTGTTAACTCCAGAAAATCTCTTTTGTGCTATATTTGTATCCCACTATTATTCTCTTTTCTTTTTTAAATTTAAGCTGCCATCTACTCCCAACTATTTTGCTGGCACATATTATGTTCTCTCTTTCTTAGTTTCCTCTATGTTGGTGTGTTACTCCCCTCACCATAAGTGTTTTTCCCCCCTACTTTCTTTTGCTTCTTGTTGGGATTCAGCTGTAACGCAGTCAATGGTAAAGGTTTGAGTGGATACTTTTAATGGGATTTTAAATGATTCTCTATCTCAATCCCTGTCTCCACCAACTCTAGGCAACCACTACTCTATATTCTCTCTTTAGATTTGCCTATTCTAGACATTTCATATACATAGAATAAATTATGTGGTCTTTGTGATTGGTTTCTTTCATTTAACTTAATATTTTTAAGGTTCAGCTATGTTTTAGCATCTATCAGTATTTGGGTCCTTTTTATAGCCAAATGATATTCCTTTATATGAATATTCCATACTATTTATTCATTCATCCATTGATAGAAATTTGGACTATTTCCTATTTTTATTATCATAAATAATGCTGCTGTTAACACTCACGTACAAATTCTTACGTGAATACATATTTTCATTCCTCTTTATTCTTTTGCTAGGAATGGAACCACTGGTTCAGTTGGTAAATCTATCTTTAATCTTTTGAGGAACATCCAAACTGCTTTCTGAATTGTCTGCACCATTATATACTTTCACTAACAACATAAGAAGATTCTAACTCTCTATGTCCTCAATAGCACTTGTTATTATCATCTTGTTTATTTGTTTGTTTTTAAGAGATGGGGGTCTCACTTTGTTGCCAGGCTAGAATGCAGTGGTGCAATCATAGCATACTGAAGCCTCAAACTCCTGGGCTCAAGTTATCTTCCTTCCTCAGCCTCCTGAGTAGCTGTGTCCACAGGTGTATGCCACTGAGGCTGGCTAATTAAAAAAATTTTTTTTTCTAGAGATAGGGTCTTGCTTTGTTGCCCAGGCTGGTCTCAAAATCCTGGCTTCACGTGATTCTCCTGCCTCAGCCTCCCAAAATGCTGGGATTATAAGTATGAGCCACCACACTCGGCCTTGTTTCTATCTTTTGACAGCAGTCATCCTAGTAGGAATAGAGTATTATAACAATGTGGTTTTAATTTACATTTCTCTGATGGCTAATTTTTTTGTTTGTTTGTTTTTGAGATGGAGTCTCACTCTGTTGGCCAGGCTAGAGTGCAGTGGCACAATTATGGCTCACTGCAACCTCTCCTGTTTCAAGGTATTCTACTGCCTCGGCCTCCCAGGCAAGTGGGATTACATGCATGCACCACCACACCTGGTTAATTTTTTGTATTTTTAGTAGAGATGGGGTTGTTCCATGTTGGCCAGGCTGGTCTTGAACTCCTGACTTCAAGTGATGCACCTGCCTCAGCCTCCTACTAACGTGTTGAGATTACAGATATGAGCCACTGTGCCCAGGCTGATTTTTAAGTATCTTTTTCAGTGTCTATAGCCCATAAGCCAATCTTTATAGAAATGTCTATTCAGACCCTTTGCCTATTTTTAAATAGGGCTACTTGTCTTTTAATTGTTGAGTTGTACACGTTCTTTATATATTCTGTACAAAAGTACCTTATCACATATAAGAAAAATTTTCTCCTATTCTGTGGTTTGTCTTTTTACTGTCTTGATGTTGTTCTTTTAAACATAAAAGTTTTAAAACTGATCAAGTCCAATTTTTCTACTTTTTTTCTTTTGCTGTTTGTTCTTTTGGTGTCATACATTCAGAATGCTTTGCCTCATCCAAAGTCATCAACATTTATTCATGTATTTCTTTTTAAGAATTTTATAGTTAGAGCTCTTATATTTAAGTCTATGATCCATATTTAGTTAACTTTGTTTACTGTGTTGTTATAGGCACCTAAATTCTTTCTTTTGCATGTGGATATCCAGTTGCCCCCACCAATATTTGTCAAAATGGCTATTTTTTCCCTATCAAACTCTCTTGAAATCCTTGTCAATATCAATTGACCCTAAATGTGAAGGCTTATTACTGAACTCTCATTCCACTCCATTTTATCGACAAATAGGTCTATCCTTATGCCAGTACTGCTCTATCTTAATTAATGTAGCTTTATGGTAAGTTTTGAAATCAGTAAGCATGAGTCCTCCAACTTTATTCTTTGTTAAGATTGTTACGGTTATTCTAGTTCCCTCATAAACCTAGATCAGTCATTTCCATGTCAGAATCTGGCACTTCTATATGATTGGTAGAATCAGTGTATTCATTTCTACAAAAAAGCAGATGAAATCTGTGGACCAATTTGGAGAGTATTAACATTTTAATAATACTGAATGTTTCAATTCATGAACATAGGATGGGATGTCTTTGCATTACCATCTAGACCTTATTTCAACAATATTTTGTAGTTTTCAGTACATAAATCTTGCAGGTCTTTGGTGATTTTATTCCAAAATATTTTGTTCTTTTTGATGCTACTGTAAATGGCATTGTTTTCTTAGTTTCATTTTTGAGTTGTTCGTTAATATATTAAAATATGCTTGACTTTTGCATATTTCTCTGATGTCCAGCAAACATATCAAACTAATCTATTAGCTGTAATAATTTTTATTGGATTTCTTAGAATTTCCTATATACAATATTATTTCACCTGTAAACAGAGATAGTTTTACTTCTTTCTTTCTAATCTGATGCCCTTCATTTCTCTTTCTGACTAAGCACCTGGCCAAAACCTTCAGTACAATGTTCCATGTAAGTAGCATGAATGGACATCTTTGTCTTGTTCCTGATCTTGCAAGGGAAAGCATACAGTCTTTCACCATTAAGTATGATATTAGGTGTGGGTTTTCCATATATATCTGTCTTAGCTCAGGCTGCTGCAACAAATACATCATAAACTGGGAGGCTTAAACAACCAACATTTATTTCTCACAGTTCTGGAGGTTGGGAAGCCTAAGATCCAGGTGCCAGCAGATTTGGTATCTGGTGAAGGCCTGCTTCATGGCTTGCAGATGACCATGACCTTGTTGTATCCACATATGGTGGACAGCAGAAACAGAGGAAAGCTTTCTTGTATCTCTTCTCAGAAGTGCCCTAATCATAAAGGTTCCATCCTTATGACCTAATTATTAATATGTCCCACAATTCTCACATCCAAATACTACCACACTGGGAATTAGGCCTCAACATATATATTTAGAGAGTGAGGAGGGACACAAACATTCAGTCCATGCAATCATCTTTATCAAGTTAAAGAGGTTTCCTTCTCTTTCTAGTTTGCTGAATGTTCCTCTCATTAAAGACTTTTGGAATTTTGTTAAATGTTTTCCCCACATTTATTGAGGTGATCATGTGATTTTTGTCCTTTATTCTCTTAATTTGATGCATTACATGAATTGTTTTCTAAGTTTAAAACAACCTTACATCCCTAGGATAAATCCCATTTGGTCATGATTTATTTAATGGCATTCTGTTGAGGATTTTTGCATCTGTATTAAAAAAGATACCAGTCTGCAGTTTTCTTTTCTTGCAGTATCATTGCCTGGTTTTCATATCAGGATCAATCTACGTTACCTTTATAGAATTAGTTGGGGAATAATTGGTATTCTTCTTTAAACATTTGGTAGAATTCAACAGTGAAATAATCTGTGACTGAGCTTTTCTATGTGGGAATTTTTAAACTATTAATTTAACCTCCTGCTATTGTCCTATTCAGATTTTCCATTCCTTCTTGATTCAGTTTCAGTAATTTGTGTCTTTATAGTAGACCAACTATATATTTATAGAGTTTGTTATATTAACCATTTTATTTGCCACCTCTGGCTCTTTCCATTTCTTTATGTTACTTGAAGCCCCATTTCCTTACCCCAGTACAGCATTATTACTACTCACATCATTTGTGTTGTTACTGTCAAATATATTTCCAAATATTGCAGACCTAACATCACAATTTTTATATACATATTTTTATACATCTGCTTTATAAATCAGTTTTTAAAAAAGAAAGGAAATAGATTATACTATATCTTATATTTATGTACTTAATTATCTTTATAAATGAGTGGATTCAAATTATTGTTTGGTGCAGCTTGCTTTTAGTCTTAAAAACTTTTCTTATATGGGTCTGATAGCAAGAAATTATCCTGGTTTATGTTTATCTGGGAATGCATTTTGCATTCATTTTTAAAAGATAGTTTTGCTGGATATAAGTTTCTTGGAGGACAGTTTTTTTTCTTTCAGTACTTTGAATACATCACCCCACTGTCTTCGGACCTCTATTGTTGATGAAAAGTCAGCCATCAATATTGTCAGGGTTCCCTTGTAGATGCTTTTCTCTTGTGACTTTCATTATTTTTTTGTCTGTTTTTGTCTTCCCACATTTTCAGTAAATGTGTCTTAGTGCAGACTTTTTTTTTTTTTTTTTTTTTTTTTTTTTTTTTTTTTTTTTTTTTTTTTTTTTTTTTTTTTTTTTTTTTTGAGACAGAGTTTTGCTCTTGTTACCCAGGCTGGAGTGCAATGGCACGATCTCAGCTCACCGCAACCTCCTCCTCCTGGGTTCAGGCAATTCTCCTAGTGCAGACTCCTTTATGTTTATCCTAATTGGAGCTTGCTGATATGCTTGAATTAGTAGACTTGTAGTTTTCATCAAATTTGGGAAGTTTTCAGTCATTATTTCTTTGTATACATTTTCTACTCTTTTTTCTCTCATCTCCTGATACTCTCATTATGTGTATTTTGACACACTTAAAAGATTGGAATTCAAGTCTGTTTTGCTCTAAGGCTGTATTCATTATGTGCTCCATAAAAAGAAGCATTTCAATTCATCTGCAGAACTATTTTTCAAGAATTACATTCTATGAGAAGTGTCATAATATCAAATAGGTAACACAGTATACAGAAATATATACTTTTGCAAGGGTATTCCACTTTATTTGTTGACAGTAAATAACATTAATTAGTTCTCAAGAATATCTACACTGGAATTGTAAAAATGTGTTATTTAGCACACGTGTCATAAGCTAATGTTTTAGTTTTGTGTTTTGTTTTGGTTACCTTCAAGAAGTTCATCCTCATCGATGCCTTTGACAATCTTTGATTTGTAGTCTCGGATAAACATGTATTTTAGCAATCTTCTAAGTTTTTTCTATTAAAAATATAAAATAAATAAGAAAACCTATACATATATTCACTTTACTGATAAAAGACTACTATAACCAAATTTAATAAACGTGTACACCATGACATCAGAGAAAATAAAGTAATGCTTAGCATACTGCTATGAGATAAAAAGGTAGTCATCAAACACAAAGGGTAAAACACAAGTCTTTTAAAAAGCATTTTTCATTTACAAATATCTAGATGTTCTACAATAGTCACACATTGCTTCATGATGGGGGTCTAAGAAATGCATCACAGAATACACTTAATAAACCTAGATGGAGCAGCCTAATGCACACCTAGGCAATGTGTGGCCTACTGTTCGTGGGCTACAAACCCGTACAGCATGTTATCATATTGAATACTGTAGGCAACGGTAAGAAAATGTTAAGTATTTGTGTATCTAAATATAGAAAAATTACAGTTAAAATACCATGTAAATGATAAAAGATTACACACCTGTAGAGGGCATATACCATGAATGAAACTTGTAGGACCTGAAGTTGCTCTGGGTGAGTTCATGAATGAGTGGCAAGTGAATCTGAAGGCCTAGGACATTACTGTATGCTATTGCAGACATTATTTTAAAAAAAAGCGGTACACTCAGGCTACACTATATTTAAAATTTTTCTTTCTTCAATAATAAATGTTCCTTATTAGCTCACTGTAACTATTTTACTTTATAGACTTCTTAATTTTAAAAAAATTGACTCATACTTAGCTTAAAACACAAACACCTTATACAGCTATATGAAAATGTTTTCCCTTTATATCCTTATTCTATAAACTTTTTTCTACTCTAAAATATCTTTTAGCTTTTAAACTTCTTTGTTAAGAACTAAGACACACACACACACACACACACACACACACACACACACACACACGCCTAGGCCTACACAGGGTCAGGACTGCCAGTTATCACTGTCTTCCATTTCCACATCTTGTCCCACTGGAAGGTCTTCAAGGGCAATGGCATGCATGGAACTGTCATCTCCCTTGATAACTGCTTTCTTTTTGGAATATCTCATGAAGGAGCAACCTCAGGTGGTTTACAGTTAAGTGTTTATGCAAGTAGTACACTCTAAAATAATGATGAAGATTATAAATACATAAACAAGAAACAGTCACTATCTTTATCAAGTATTATGTACTATACATAATTTTATGTGCTAGACTTGTACCATCAGCAGTGCAACAGGTATACATCAGCATCACCACAAACTTGAATCATACATTGCACTACAATGTTATGATGGCTATGACATCACTAGATAATTGGACATTTTCAGCTCCATTATAATCTTATGGGACTACTGCTGTATTTGCAGTACATTGTTAACCAAAAGGTCATCATATGGTACCTGACTGTAACTGCCTTTTTGTTTGTTTGTTTTGAGATGCAGTTTTTGCTCTTGTTGCCCACGCTAGAGTGTAATCGTGCAATCTCAGCTCACCACAACCTCTACCTCCCGAGTTTAGGCTATTCTGTCTCAGCCTCCTCAGTAGCTGGGATTACAGGTGTGTACCACCACACCCAGCTTATATTTGTATTTTTAGTAGAGACGGGGTTTCTCCATGCTGGTCAGGCTGGTCTCAAACTCCCAACCTCAGGTGATCCAACCGCCCCTGGCATCCCAAAAGCTTTAGGCCAGGTGCAGTGGCTCACATCTGTAATCTCGGCACTTTGGGGTAGCTGAGGTGGGCAGTCACAAGGTCAGGAGATCGAAACCATCCTGGCCAACATTGTGAAACTCCATTTCTACCAAAAATACAAAAATTTGCTGGGCATGGTGGCGTGCACCTGTGGTCCCAACTATTTGGAAGGCTGAGGCAGGAGAATAGCTTGAACCCAGGAGGCAGAGGTTACTGTGAGCAGAGATCATGCCATGGCACTCTAGCCTGGCGACAGAGCAAGACTCCATCTCATAAAAAAAAAAAAAAAGTTGAAAAATTTTTTGAAGATTGTATTATCAGTCTCCATACCAAGCTGACTGTACTTATGCTATAAAATTTTGTACATACTCAAGATGAAATTTTAAAAAAATTAACTTATAAATACCTAGACAGTGAGTTTGTAATAGTTGCTTTAAAAGCCAAGCAGTTCCTTTTTACTGTTTTTTATTCTCTGAAATCTTATCCTTTTGCTAGAAGATTTAGTTTATGTGTTATGTTTATGGAAAACAATCTGTAACCTGACAAATGTATTTTTATGAAATTTGAAGCTGATGAATGATAGTTAGGTCTTAATGATGGCCTTCTTTAGATTTAGTAGACCATAATACTGCTTAATTTTAAAAGTAACTGATAATCCTTTGCAGCTTATTGTATGCTTCCACTTAGAATGTATTATCATTCATTTCTGAACTTCAGGTTTAAGATTTCTTTTAATAGCTGAAACATACTACATTTTACAAAGTTCTTTACATGCACTTCATTTGATACTTTCAATAGCTTCTTTACATCTTGTGCCTTGGACATACGACTGCCTCACCCTAGGCAGAAACTTCAGAAAGTCCTATAGCCTCTCCATCTAATCATACAACCTTGAAATTTTGACTTTTAAAATGCTTCTTCAACTAAATCATATAGATGTCCTAAACCAGATCATAATTTTCTTAATAGTGAAGATTTTCCATTTTAAAAATATTCTTCATATCATCTAAGAGTTGATTAACTGAAACATAAAATATTAGAGAATATTTTCAACTAGCTACTCATGGAAAATAATTATGACAAAATTAGACACACAAATATCACAAATTTTAATACCAATTTCAAAGAGCAAGAAAGGTAGGTCTTTGTTAAAAAACAAAAAATTGGTATGTATTTATTCCATTGAAAATTCATCTTAATTAATTTGCTTTTTCTAATAAGCTAAAACCACAGACTAAACTTTGTATTTCAGGCTTAAAAAATTACTCTAGGAGAGTCTATAAGTCTGGTAATGTTAATCAACAAAAAGAGAAGAAAAATTAACGTACCATTCAGTTATATCCCATTTATGACAACAGAACATAGCGTCAATAATTAGTGAGTGACATGTAGCAATAAAAGTGTCTATATAGACACAGAAGGATAAGTGAAGGTTCGCTGTTAGCACAGTTTTTATATAAGTGCTTTTGTCCACATAATAAATATCAATTCTTTTGTAAATCCATTTTGTTGTGCAAACCATGAGGACTAAAATGTCAGTTCAATAGTTATGATTTTAATTTGAAAGCAATGTAACACGGATATGTAGTGTCCACATACAAGTTCAATTAAACACAACGCCTGGATTTTAATACAATAAATTATTTTATATTACCTTATCTTTGCGCATCAAAAACAGAAGATCTTCAGGAGTGATTACTCTTGCTCCACGCAGCTGAGAAACTTCAGCAGCTTGCTGTAACTAAAAATAATGAAAATTTAGAAATTTTTCTCAGTAATATAAATTACGTATAGTACAGTCATGGTTTCTCTAGAGAGATAAATACACTAAGAGTTAAAAACCTTTGGGAATAATCCAGCAATCACATTACTGCTTTTAAGGGCTAAATGTCTTATGTTTTTAAGATATAAAAAATGCAATTAAATTAACTTATGAGCCCACCTGTAACCAATACAATAAACAGAAATCATTTATTTCTTTCATGCAAAAGAAAAATCATGCACAGCTTCCAAAAATGCATTAATGCACCTGAAAATAATTTCATGAAATTTTATCCTTCATACTCATGTGAGCAATGGTTTCACTCAGTATCACTAGTTGAATAAGTATATTATTAATCTGAGCTCCCATGCTGCTATGATTTGAAATAGGCCCATTCAGAACTTTAAAAGATCAACAAAAACAGTAGCTGTTTCTAATATCCAAAGGAAAAAAAATACGTTTAGTTTTGGCAAGTCTTCAGTGGGTAAAGGATTCAGTCCATAAATCATAATACTGGACTGCATTAATTTCTTTCCATACTAATCACATCCACACAAAAAGTTAACTGTATCTGGAATGTACAACACAAAACATTACTGCATGAAAAGTTAGATTCCCCCTGAAATGTTCATCTAGGCCCTTATATCTACAAAGTAAAGATTTTTCAGGAATTCATAAGTCACAGAAACACAATCTTACTTAAAAATGATCTGGAAAATAGAAGAATGTGAAAAATGATAGTTCTATTTTTTTGGCACAGGCAAACTCACTTTCTTATTTTGATTAGTTGGAAGCAACATGAAATATGTCCATCTGAAAAAAATAAAGATGCTAGCGAAAACACTGTTAAAAGTGTGCCTGTAACTTCTTCCAAATTTGATCAAATCATACTGATTGCACCAAACCAAGTCTATCCAATATGAAATAATATAAAAATATTTACATGTGAAAGCTGTTCCTGAATACATCCTTCTTTTAAAAGATAAACCTAACACATATTCTTGAGAACTAATCTTTAAAAAGCGACACATTGTTATCTCAACAAATATATGAAATCAAATAGTACATTTGTGCTAAAGAAATTCTGCTTAAATGTTTAATCCATTTTGCTAAGTAAGCTTCAAACCTTCTCTAAATACACAGACTACAAAATAGACTATAAACTCGCTATGTGTCAGCTTTACCACTGAATTTCCTGGATACTGTGGTTGGTATATAAACACAATCCTATCTAAATATAGAAATTTAAATTTAACTGTGAAGCATTTAAAAAGAAAATCTTGAGGCGGGGGGGAAGGTTTTTTAAAAATGATGTTATCTACTCAGAAACTAAAAGTTTTCAGCAGGCATAAACATATTTTTCCTAAAAATTGAAGAGTGTGAAGGAAATATATGTACACATGCTTTTTCAAATAAAAACATTTCTATCACAATCTAAAATACATACAATCAGTGTTGAGAAGAATACAAGTTATATATACATTTGTCTTGACACATACATAGCCACTTTATTTTCTTAAATGAAGAATGGTGATCATTTGAAATCCGAAAAGCACTATATAGATATATGAAACTACTCATATTAAGAAAGGATCAAGACAAATATATATCCCTAAGTAGTTTTCCCAATTAATCAATACTACATATAAATAATCTCTATTCATAACATTCTCCAAAGTATCAGTTAACAGTCATATTAGCGGGGGTAAGTAGGAAAATAGAAAATGAAAGACATAGAAGAGTTTGACATTTGGAATCACTATTTTTTTTTTTTTTTTTTTTTCTTTAACCAATACATGACCACTGTAAGGATCTGGAATTTATATAACGGTTATGCTGTCATATATAGTAGGAAAAGTTTATCTTTGTTTTTTATTTATCTGATTTTCTAATTTACCTCAACCAACATAATATCCTTACTGGGACTGCTACCACTCCCTAGTCTGCCCTGGACCTCTGCCTAGTTAGTATGTCTCTGGGTCTGAAAGTACCACTATGTTACTGTACCAAGGCCTGCCTATCCTGAATGTGTCCCAAACTCCAAAGTTACCTCTCTCAAACTCTGACCTCCTCTTCGCTACCAAGTGAAGAGAGCAATCTTATTAGCTAATTAAAGTAATACATACTAAAGTACATAGGGTCACCTATTACACCCCTATCAAAATACTCAAGTCCTGAACTCAGTCCTATGGGACCTGTATATACGAAAACTCAGCCCTCCTTATAGAAGAGCTTCACATCCCAGGAATATTATTTGTCAAAGTAAACAAAATATAATACTAACTTGTAACAACTTTGACAGTAAAAAAGTTCCCTCAAATATTAAAACTCATGTTTACATTTTAAGTATGTTATAATACTTTATTAGGAGGTTGAGAATTAAAAGGTACACTATTACATGTCACCTCAAATGCCACATCTTTGACCCTATAAATAAATCCATTCTCAATTTCTCATTGCTATCCATGACATTCATTTTTTTTTCTTACTGTATTATATATTCACCAACTTCTGTTGATTTTGTTGTTTCTTTTAATCTTCTCAGGGTCTTGATGTGCTATTTCCATCATATTTGTTCTACTATAATCTCCCTTAAATACAATGTCTGAATTTTTGCTCAAAGGTTTATGATAATTCACTATTATCTAAATTCAATGTGGTCTTTAAAGCTCGAATGATTCACTTATTTTCCCAATAATTTTTATTGCTTTTCTCTCATATAATTCTACATATAGGTTCCAATAATTTTGGTTCTTTGTACCTTTGTGTACTTGTGATGGTTAATTTTATGTGTCAACTTGACTGGACCATGGGGTACCTAGACATTTGGTCAAGTATTATTCTGGGAGTGGCTATGAGGGTATTCCTGGATGAGATTAACATTTCAATATGTAGGCTGAGTAGCAGACTGTCCTCTCTAATGTGGGTGGGCCACATCCAATCAGTTGAAGACCTGCATAAAATAGAAAAGGCTGAGTAAGAGGAACCAACTTCTGCCTGAATGCATAACCTGGGACACTGGGTCTTTTCTGGCCTTTGGTCTCAGACTGAAACATCAGCTTTTCTTGTGTTCTGAGACTGCTGGCTTTCAGACTGGAACTACACATCTACACACTGGCTTTCCTGGGTCTCCAGTCTGCCAAATGAAATTCTGGGAATCCTCAGACTCTATAACTACATAATTAAAATTTATTATCCTTATAATACATTAATCTCTCACACACACAGGCATGCACACACACATACTTACTGTTGGAGAACTCTAACATAGTACTATATTCAAATTATAAGAAAACCTTGATTCTTTATAAGATGTGGCACTTTTTTCTATGAAATATAAGCTTTAAAATAATTTTCTCGGAAAAATAAGATCTATGATTATTGTCACACAAGTGCTTATCATCTAACATAGATAGAAAACTTAAGTGCACAGTTTACAATATCTTAATTGCACTTGTTATGAAGTTTCCTAACACTCCTGCCTCTTAAATATCTTTTGAATAATACACGTAGGTCCAGGACCATTGATCCTGATCAGGCAATTTATAAATGTTTGTTAAATGTTGGCAACCTATACTCCCCTCCATGATTTTCAGTTTTCCCATTTATATCTAACAGATATGTGTTAAACTACATAAAATCTATGACCTTTTGCATTTGACTGGGGCCCACATAAATTCAGCACAAAGACTTCTCTAACGTTCTAAAAAGTTTAAAGTGTACAGCAGAATTAAGTTGATGATTCCACAATTACTAAGCTACTGAAAGTATTTTCATGCAACTTCCAGTGCAGCTCTTTCCTTTAGGTTTTGCCTAAGAACCTGGATTTGTCCTTTTTGAAGATAAATAGTAAAAGGTAGGAGTTGTGGTGAGCTAGTATCATGAAGAGGCAGAATCCTAGGTGAGGCTGACACCTTGCCTAAAATTATTTATTTTTCTATCAGTCTATTTATTATGCATTCATAATCTCTCAGGCCAGATTCTAGGTTAGGCTGTGAATGCTCAGCTCTGCTTACAACCATACTTGCTAGCCAGAGATAACCCCGACGGTTTTCTCTAAATCATCCATGATGTGATTGAAAGAACCTGGAGTTAAATTTCCTAAGTTGGAGTCAGGAAACTCCAGTGTAGTTCTATCACTAAGTAACTGCACAACCTTAGACACATCAAATAACTGCTCTAGGTTTGTAGGTTTATGTTTCTCTTTTATTTGAAATAGGTAATCAATGACTTTAATGATTAGTAAGAGAATTAAAATCTTAGTGGTAACAGTAGCTACCATATATTGTGTCCCTAATTTGTGCCAGGTGCTGTGCTCTGTCTTATAAATACTTAATTTTAACTTTTAAATTGTATATCTAAGTTAAAAAAATATATAAAACATTACAAGTCAAATAACACTATAAATTTTATAATGACAGGAATACCTTGACACATTTCTTTCAAATCTGTAATTGTGCTTCCAGTGGCAATCACCTTTAACTTTTTTTTTTTTTTTTTGAGACAGAGTTTCATTTTGTTGCCCAGGCTGGAGTGCAGTGTGGCATGGTCTTGGCTCACTGCAGTCTCTGCCTCCTGGGTTCAAACAATTCTCATGTCTCAGCCTCCCGAGTAGCTAGGATTACAGGTGCCTGCCAACACGCCCGGCTTTTTTCTTTTTATTTCTTTTTGTAATTTAGTAGAGATGGGGTTTCACCATGTTGTCCAGGCTGGTGTTGAACTTCTGAGCTCAGGCAATCTGCCCATCTAGGCCTCCCAAAGTGGCAGGATTACAAGAATGAGCCACCATGCCCGGCCACCTTTAACTTTTTAAGCTTGTTTCTATGTTATTTACCAATATATTTGAAATAAGCTTATAATAATTGTATTTTTCAGCTTTAAATATTATAAAATGACTTCTTACGACAGGAGAAAAAGATTTAGTGCTCTCAGACACCTCAAATTTGACCATCTCTCCTCTTGACTTTACCTATGAAATA